CCACCCTATCCTCAACATGAATTCAGTATGCTCTAAACATAGGAGGGAAAGGTCTTTCTGGAAAGGGCCCCAGTGGGGTACAGGCTAGAAATCTAGGTGAAACAGATCTTGAGATATATGGACCCACCCAGTAGAGGTGAAAGTAAAAAAGAAGAGAAAGAAAAGGCAACTCCATTTAGGAATAAAATATGCTAAATATTTTCCCCCATAGTAAGATTTCATTTGCTTGTTTTTCTGGTTTTACTTTGCTAATGGTAAGCACCTAGAGCCTGCTGGCTCCCCAGCCTCATACCCTACAGAGGGAAACCTCTCTGCAAATCTGCCAAATTACACAGTATTCCATGCATGTCCTCCCATTTAGAGGGGATTTGGGGTAAACATAAGCAACTGAAATAAGAAACTAGTCCAACTACCTATGCTAATCAATATATTCTTTATTCATAAAAATGAATGGTCATCCAAAGATTGTCCAATATTTGAGGAAAACCTATAGTATAAAAAAAACAATTGCCCATAAAGGAAAAAAAAAAAGCTAACGCAAGACAGAATCAACTTTTAATGTCATTGGAAAGATTCAGACATTAATTGTATCCATACAGGAAAAAGAAGCAACTCTGAAAAACAAACAAACAAATCAAAGAACAACAGGAAAATGTAGAAGACTAAAAATATGATTGCCAAAAATTTTTTTAAAATCCAGTGTAATGACTAGGTAATGGAATAGCTAGTATTAAAAAACATACAGTGTTCTGGGAAACACTGTCCGGAAAATGCATCCAAACACAAATCATGGAAAATATAAGACAAAACTTAAAAGATACTCACATGTATGCAGAAGGTACATTACTTGGCTAACAGACATTTCAGAGGAAAGAACAGAGAAAATAGGGGAGGAAATGAAATAATTAAAAATCTCTCTGAGTTGAAAGACACAATTCCTGAAATGGAAAGAGCCAGCCCATTGTCAAATGATATAAACAAAAGAGAACTCAGATACATCCTGGTAAACTAATTTAAGGAAAGATTGTAAAGCCTCAAAAGGGGAAGAAAAAAAAAAACATTGCATATAAAGGAATGGGCTTAGTTTGACATCATAATTATACATTTCATTGGGTACTACAAGGTACTGAAGCAAAGCCTTCAAAGGGAAAATTAATTTGAGACTAGAATAGTCTACCAAATGTTCAGTCAAGTGTGAGGGCAAAATAAAGACATTTTCAGGCATTTAAGAGCCTGGATATTTTATCTCCCATTTACTGTTTCTTCAAAATTATTTTAGGATACAATCCAACAAAATGAGTAAGATATTTAAGAAAGAGGAAGACATGAAATCCAAAACAATGTAACACAGGTATTCAATTAAAAAAAAAAAAAAAGTCCCAGATAGCTATTCTCTGAAAGCTATACATCAGTGAAAATGAGAAGAAGAATCCCAATTTTTCAAGGCAAAAATTTTTCAAAAAATGAGAAATTGGCATTCATCAAATACCACAATCAAGCTAGGAAATTTTGATGATCAATGGGTTGCTTCTGGTAAAATAAAAATAAAAAATAAAAATAAATTAAGGAGAATTTTTTAAGAGATTTTATTTATTTATTCAAGAGCGACACACAGAGAGAGGCAGAGGGAGAAGCAGGCTCCATCCATGCAGGGAGCCCGATGTGGGACTCGATCCCAGGTCTCCAGGATCACACCCTGGACTGCAGGTGCCACTAAACCGCTGAGCCACCCGGGCTGCCCTTAAGGAGAAATTTTTAAACAAGTTGTAGAAGAACATTACCAGCTAAATATGAAGTAAAACAAATCCTGGTATCATTTTAAGTAAAATCTGATCATGGTTTATGGTGAAGAGAAAAAGAATTTTTCCTCTTGGTAGCACAGGTTCCACATCACAGAATTACCTTTCCTTTTTTAGGAGTCTAATTGCACTAATTGGTTCTGCAATAATTATTTCCTAATTGTAACAGTAAATATAACGACGACTAACACTTATTTAACACTTAATGTAAGTCCCATTCTAATTCCTTTAGACTTATTAGCCAGCACAGAAAGGTGAAGTCACCTGCCCAAGGTTATACATGGGTTGGTGACCTCAGGCATCCTGTTCCAGAATCCTTGCTCTAAACACTGACTAGGATGCTTCTCATGATGCTCTTTGTTAATTTGCCATTCTTAGAATCAACCTGTCAATCTAAAACAAGAAAGGATAGCCACAATTATAAAACAAAATATAAGTTATATAAAACTTACCAATGTAGAGAAAGTAATTAACCAAAGGAAGGACAGGGAGAAGAATGTGTAGGTAAGATATTTTTTCTTATCCTCTTAAATAGGACTTTCTACATAACTGAATCACTGTAACATAATTTTCTATATAATAGCAAGTCAACAATTATATACATATATAGTTTTTATATAAAATAAAAATAGAAAAATCAGCAGGGACGAAGAGGTGGTGAACTTAATTTCCTCGTATTTCACTGGAAGTATGATGGTTAAATTTATGCATAAATAGCTGCTGTCAATAGATATGTCTAATTTTAAATTTTTTTTAATTTATTTATTTATGATAGTCACAGAGAGAGAGAGAGAGAGAGGCAGAGACACAGGCAGAGGGAGAAGCAGGCTCCATGCACCGGGAGCCCGATATGGGATTCGATCCCGGGTCTCCAGGATCGCGCCCTGAGCCAAAGGCAGGCGCCAAACCGCTGCGCCACCCAGGGATCCCAGATATGTCTAATTTTAATTTTAAAATGTTATTTATAATTTATATAGTAACTCCGAAATCTAAGAACAGAAAAGTTAAACTTGATACATTAATAGCAAGATAGGCAAATTACTTAGAACTCTGGAAGGAATATCAGAAAAGCTAAAAATAGAAAAGGAGAGGTGTAGGGAAGGGGAAGTCCTTAACTTTTATTAAAATTATCAGATATTTTATTGTGAAAAATTATATAATATTATCAATAAAAGTAGTATCCTGTAAAGAAGGGCATAAACTGGTGAGGATACCTTCCCTTCCTGGCATGATAATACAAAATGACAATGAATGCCACCTGGCCATAAAACCCAGTGGGACAAGGATAATATATAAATGCAATTATAAAATACTCATACTCTTGGGGCACCTGGGTGGCTCAGTGGTTGAGCGTCTGCCTTCAGCTCAGGTCCTGATGGCAGAGTCATGGGATGGAGTCTGGCATCAGACTTCCCACAGGGAGCCTGCTTCTCCCTCTGCTTATGTCTCTGTGTCTCTCATGAATAAGTCAGTAAGTCTTTAAAAAAAAAAAAAAAACTCATGTTCTTTACTGATGGCCCATTTTTGTCATATAAACTTCTACAGAGACATTCATTTAATCAGCTTTAGACAGCTACTGAGTCACACAATTCCAATCCTCTACTTTGCACACCACATTTAAAGAGCTAAGTTCACATATGGCAGACGCGAGCCTACACTGGCATAACCTTTTCAAGGTATAATTTGGCAGTCCTTATTGGAATGTAAAATAAGGCCATACTCTGACCTCCCCATTTCTCTTCTCAGAATCTACCCTACAGCAACACCGCCAAATACTCAAAGGTGACTCTATACACGGACTTTCAATTAAGCTAATTATTGTTTTTAACTGGGACACGAAAACCACTTAAAAGTGTACTTAGATGCACAATATTTTGTTGCCATTGCGCAGCCCGCGTGGCTCTAGCGGTTTTGCACCGCCTTCAGCCCAGGGCCTGATCCTGGGGTCCCGGATCGAGTCCCGCGTCGGGCTCCCTGCATGGGGCCTGCTTCTCTCTCTGCCTGTGTCTCTGCCTCCCTCTGTGTGTCACTCATGAATGAATAAATAATAAAAAAACTTTAAAAATGTATTTTGTTGCCATTTAAAAAATGAGATACGTCTATACAAAGTGACACTAAAAGGTATCCACAACATACCGTTAAGCAAGAAAAGGCAAGATACGGACTAATATATAATCTGTGTGTGAGGTGGACACAGGCTAGGTAGGTAGACACACACACACACGTACTGGGCAGTACCAAGTGGGCTTAAGGTGTGTGGAGGAAACAAGTTTTTACCTTGAAATCTGATTTTTTTTTTTTTACAACTAGCTTATATAGGCTTTTTTAATCTTAGGAAATCAGAGTATATCTCGATACATTTTTTAAAAAACCCAAAAAGAGATGCACTCAATGTCTTTGCATTTCGTTCACTCCCAAATCTACGAAAAAGCACTAGGACTACCAGGCAGTAAGTAGCAGCGGCCCGGCTGGGGGGTTCCTCAGCGCCCGCGGGGGGGAGGGGCGGGGGCGCGGGGGGGAGGGCGCGGGGGGAGGGCCGCCGAGAGGGAGGGCGCGCGGGGGGAGGGGCGCGGGGAAGGGCGGGCGCCGGGGAGGGCGCGCGGGGGAGGGGCGCGGGGAAGGGGCGGGCGCCGGGGAGGCGCGCGGGGGAGGGCGCCGGGAGAAGGCGGGCGGGGGAGGGCGGGGGCTGGGGGAAGGGCGCCGGGAGGGCGCGCGGGGGCGGGCACGGGGAAGGGCGGGCGCCGGGAGGCGCGCGGGGAGGGCGCGGGGAAGGGGCGGGGCGCCGGGAGGGCGCGCGGGGGAGGGGCGCCGGGGAGAAGGCGGGGCGGGGGGAGGGGCGGGGGCTGGGGGAAGGGGCGCCGGGGAGGGCGCGCGGGGGGCGGGGCACGGGGGAAGGGGCGGGGCGCCGGGTAGGGCGCGCGGGGGGAGGGGCGCCGGGGAGGAGGCGGGGCGGGGGGAGGGGCGGGGGCTGGGGGAAGGGGCGCCGGGGAGGGCGCGCGGGGGGCGGTGGCACGGGGGCGGGGGACGCGCGGGGACCATGGCAAGCGGGCGGCCCAGCGCGGCGTCCGGGAGCCGCCGGGGCCGGGTGCGGGGCCGGAGCGCCGCGGGGGCCGAGGGCGGGCGGCCGCGTGTCCGGCGGCCGGGGCGGGGGCGGGGCGAGGCGGCGGCGGTGGAGCGGCGGTGGAGCGGCGGCCCCCGTACCTTCCCAGGAGAGCTCTCCTCCGGGCTCCCGCTTCAGGAACTTGTACCAGAAGGTGCCCACGCGGGCCGGCCCCGCCCCGTCGCGCGCCGCCTCCTCGGGCGCCAGCTCCACCTCCCCGAGCCACAGGCCCGGCTCCTGCAGCGCCCGCGCCCCGCCGCCCGCCGCCGAGCCCGCCGGCCTCAGGCGCACGGCCCCGCGCGGCTCCCAGCGCCCCAGCTCGGGCCGCGACCCCACGACCAGCAGCTCCGGCGCGGCCCCGGCGCCCGCGGGCGGCACCACCACCCCGAAGCGGAACCGCATGGCGGCGGGCGGCGGCGGCGGGCGGCGCGGCTCCCGGCGTGGGGCGGCCCCGGGTCTGGGCCGCATCACGCGGGGCACACGTGTCCCCCCGCGGCAAGGACGCTGCCCGCCCCCCCCCCCGCGGCGGCCTCCCGGGAGCCCCGCGGCCTCGTCCTCTTGCCCAAAGACTCGCAATTCTGTGGATGCGGCTCGCAGGGGAAAGGGAGCGGCGGCTGGAAGGCCGCCTGCATAGTAGTGAGGCGGGGCGCCCCGGGCCCTGGGCAGGCCTGACCGTGGGCCTCCGGTTCGCTGCAACGAGGGAATGAAATAGCCCCCTTGGAAGACCCTGCCGGCTCTCAAGGTTTCTCTGGTTGGTGGAAGAGGCGCCTTTCGGCACCCAGGGCTCTGCGGGCTCTGCGGGCTCTGCGGGCTCTGCGGGCTCTGCGACGAAGGCGCTGGTCACCTCTCCCGGGCCTGGTCCAATTCGATGCCTGAAACAGCACAGGCTCGCTTTCTTTCTTTCTTTCTTTCTTTTTTTTTTTTTTTTTCAAAGACTGTTATAGTTTTAATATCTCTAAAACAGGTTCGGAGTAAATACTTCCAAGACCTTTCCAAAGTAAAACAAAGACCATGCTACGATTACAAATGTATGTCGATCATTGTTTTTTAATGGCATTAAAATAAAACTTGTTCAAGATTTGCTTTCAGTAAACGACTTAAAACGTTTTTATGTCAAGAAATACAGATTTACAGCTGTTTGGTCAAAAAAAAAAAAAAAAGCCTGCATGGGTTGGGAGAGGTATTTAATTTTTGTTACTGCCTTAAGATGACCATCCGTCCTGTTTACATATTTGTTACTTTTTGATTCTTTGATAAAGTGGTTCTCCTGTTCTTACATTTGTATGTTCACCAACACGTAACACAGCAATCTCTTATCCAAACTAGAGACATATATAAAATATCTCTAAGTCACATTTTTACAAGTTTTTGAAACCCTGTGAAAAATGGAGGGGGGGGGACCAAAATTTCATGCATTCAGAATATCATAAGTACAAAAAGAAGAATAAAAATGTAAACCATACGAACTCGATCTCTCAGTGGAACAGTCAGTAAACTAATCTGCTTCACTCTTAAATATTGATATTCCACTCACTGGTTGGTTGGTTGCTAAGCTAAGGATAAACACAAAGAAAAATGTGAAGACAGCAAGGCTGGCCAAACATGGCTGATTCAGTACCAAAGCACACATTAAATCACAGCTGCATGTGAGTTTATTCAAATTGCTGTTACAAAATATTCTTAGACTGATTTTGGGAAATTAAGAGTCATTTGGCCATGCAGGAATCCTGGGAGCTGACAGATCAGGACTTTATTGTGTTGTGCTATGCAGCCTGTGCTGTATACTTTCCAAATGGCACTATTCCCACCAGCTCGTCCCAAGTGAGTACTGCCCATTCCGTGGATAAAATAGCAACAAGAAGAAGGAGAGGAAGGAGAAAAGGAAAGAAGGGAGGAAGGAAAGAAGAAAGGAGAGAGAACAGGAAGCAGGGAAAGAAAAAAGAAAAGGAAGGAAGGAGAAAAGAAAGAAAGGAAAGAAAAGAAGAAAAGAGAAAGAAAAGAAAGAAAGAAGAAAGAGAAAGAAAGAAAGAAAGAAAGAAAGAAAGAAAGAAAGAAAGAAAGAAAGAAAAAAAGAAAAGAAAAAGCAAGTGGGCAATATATTTGTTCAAGAGGCATTATTTTCTTTCCTTTTCTCTCATCATAAAGGAGTAATTTTAACAGTTGGAAGTACCCCCCCTTTAATCCCTTATAGAGAATATACTTCCAAGGCCTTTCCAAGGTAAAACAAAGACCATAATTCTATGATTACAAATGTATCTCATTCATTATTTTAATGGCATTAAAATAGAACTTGTTTATGTTTAATAAATAAAGCTTATTTTATGGCATAGATTGAAATATAGTACAAATATGATGGCTACATTGTGAATTAAGTAAGATGCAACTGGAAAGAAGAACAAGACCAGAAGGACATATTCCAAAGCCTCAATCATATTTTGTCAATCGTTTGTCAAAAGTTGTAATAGCCATTGAGCCCTTATTATGAACTAAGCATGTGGTTTTCAAATTCATATTATCTCATTTAATTCTCTCACCGATCCTATGAAGTAACAAATATTATATTTCCATTTTAATATTTGAGGGAAAGGTGCAGAGTTTTAGTAAGCAGCCCACAGCAAGGAAGGGACAGAGCCAATGCTGAAAGTCATTCTTTCCACTTACAGTTAAAGGGATATATAATACACATAATGTACACATAATTTGATTTCTAGGAAAATCACTTACAGAATGCCTTTAAATCCCACCATACTTAAGTGAGGTATTCTCCACTAGCTCTTAATGAAAAATAACTTCCTATAACTATTTCCTATAACCAATTTCATCCTTAGAAATGATGAAAACAGATGAATCTAAAATAATCCAAGAGTCTATAAAGACACAAATATCGTGGTATTTAGAGTGGATTTGACCTCAGACCCCAGAAAATAGTCATTGTTACTCCTTTATACATCTACCTTGTTGACAATGGAAACACAAATTTGAAAAGTCAAGGTGAAAAATTTCACCAGTTATTAAGCTGCATTATTCCCAGCTTTTTTTTTTTTTTTCCTGGTTGAGTTTCTCCATGTGATATTTCTTTTTACATTTCAAAGAATCATGGTATTTAATAAAAGTGATTATTTATGGAATCCATTTGAGGTCAGATTCTTAATGCTCTGAAGACAAGCTGAATTTAGAGCAAGAATGAGCTCAGTAAAGTAACATAATTCTGATAATAATTTTTGGAAGACCAAACTAATTTGTTGTCATTGAATTTTATTTCTATAGTGCTATCTTATATATAGCCATGATATTTCTTAAAGAATGGGTGATAAATTCACATTTACAGTTTCAGGATCCAATTCAAATGTAAATTCTTTCAAAGCTCCCTCAGGGAAAGCTATTATTTGCAACTATGGTAATTTATGTTTTCTGAAGCAATCTTTCCACTAGTCAGTGAGTTATCATAAATCTTCCTTTATAATATTGTATATGTATACACACACTCACTGATGCAAACCATATTTCACCCAAATAGTTCAGGGACCGTTATAAGCATTAGTTTATTACTTGTCAGAACATACTAAGAGTTAAATGTGCCACATATACTATTTCCAATTTTGTAGCTTAAAAAAGGTAATAAAAACAAACAAAAACCTTCCTTAGAGAATTTGATTACAGCTCAGAAATTTTGCATATTGCAGCTTACTTTTTTCTGAGTTGGAAAATTGTAGGTTAAGCTACTTGAAAATCCCTTTGAGGATCTGGAGCAATAGACAGATTTGAACTATACCAAGGCTTTGTCCAAAAATTCCACATTTCTCAACTATTTAAAAAATCCATGTCCTTTTGTTAATGCATATAAAAATCTCCTATCTGCAGGAGATTCCAGCAATTCCACTTCCCACCCCATCCCACCGTATAGACAAGTACTGCATTTTTATTGTATCACCAAGAGTCAGTTTAGCCATGCATTTTTCCTGTAATTTATGCTATAGAAATATCGATTTTTTAAAACAGTATAAGTATAAAATTACATTGAAGCATATGCCTTTTCAAAAGACATTGACTTGTCCCTTCCCTGGCACATCCCACCACCCTCCTACACCTGCTGGTGTCAGCATTATAACACCCACACCTCCTCTGGGCACTTCCCAACAGGTCGATCAAGTCTGGATTCTGTTAGGCAATGACCTCAACTGGCTTTTCCTAGGGAAAGTAGAGGGTCAAGCCAGGTGGCTGGACCTTGAGATTAGAGACACGGTTTAGAGCTTCCTTCAAATTGAAAAAGATCCTCCTAGGTCTGTGGGAATTTGAATGGCAGGCTAGTTAGCACCTTTCTCAAAAAGGGTAGAGGGCTTGATAACCCTTAGGAATAAAAGAGTGGTGGCTGGAAGGGATGATTTGAAACTCCCAAGGGACCTTTCAAAGAGTTTGAGAAAAAGGAAATAGGTTAGCTAAAAGTAGAGCTGGCTCATTTGTACTTAAATGGGGAATGGAGAATAAGGTTGGGAAGGACAGCAGAGCAGGGGGGCAAGGGGTGGAGGAGGCAAGCCTGGCAAGTACTTATTAAGAATTTGAACACTTTCTAATTCACACTTTGCTTATTTTCCTAATCATTGTATGTGTTGATATTTTAAAAGTGAGACTATTTAGGGTGCTTACTTCTGACATGGAGAAGGGAGGACAAACAGGTTGGTTTGAAAACATTGCTTTACTTCAACTGGACACTGATGAGGATCCTGCAAAGGAAAGCAAGAGTTGATAGTAACTGGAAAGGAGAAGACTGAAGTGAAACCCCGTTGACCTTCAATAGGAAAGAAAGGATAAAGCAGGAGCTGAGTAGAGACTATGAGCTTCCCTGGAAATGCAGAAATAGTTGAGGAGGAGGAGGTGTACTCATACTTTAATCAGTGGAACTAGCCACTTACTCAAAAGTATATACTTGTCCAAACATGCACTATGGACATTGTCAAAGTATAATTTTCCAAAATGACTCTCATATAAATTAATGAGGGAACCAGAAGGATGGTAAAAATATTTCAAAAAGAACTACAGATCTAATGTATATAGACTCTGAAAGACTGCTAGAAGATTACTAGATTAAATACAAAAGTGATTAATTTCCCACTGAGCAATAAAACTGTAACCTGCGGATTTATCTATCCTACCTCACAGAAATCACTTGCATCTTAAACAGATAAACATCTACAATATTGAATATATAGCTTTGGGGGTGAGGGCCCTAACCAATAGTAAGTAGTAACATAAAGCAGGCACAAATAATCTTGTAGAGAATGAAATAACTCGAATGGACCCGGAGGACACTGTTCCAGCGCGCAGGACAGGCAGTCACCCTACACCTCAGTTCTAGGTTTTGGATACTCTTTCTTAACAATGTATAATAGGGGCACCTGGTTGGCTCAGTGGTAGAGCTTCTGC